TTAGATATACTTTTGGGCTCTCGCAGTCATGAGACCAAATGGGTTCTGTTCAAAATTCTCTATCCTGTTTGATTTAAATTGCCTCAGTATCTGAAATCCAAGAAGTAGGCCGACTACTAGCAAATCATTCAACGAACCCCAGTGCAGGCATTTTAAGTACAGAGGCTGTTGAAAGCATCAGGGTTGCAACCGGTTTCCACAGTTTACCATGATGGACTAACTCAAATCCCAGGAAATGCACTTTTTGGGTACAAAGAACAACAAAGTCTGAGCAATATATAATCTTTTATGACATTAAAAACAACAAAACAGACCATGTCCTACTTCTCATATTCTATTAGTAGTGAAATTCTAAAAAGAACAGAAACCTCATCATGGCCCCGTAAAGCTTCCTTTGCACCCGTAGGAATAGCCTGGGTACAGAACCATTCTCAAAGTTATGTTGCCTCTAGAAACGCAATAGCCCTGACCGTACATACATTGCCATGACAGTGTGTCACAAAAGTAATAACAAAGTTGTTCAGTTGCTTCCAGATCTTAGTCTGATCTGCTTCACTGCTAACTTTTATGATGTGTAACCTATTACAAACCTGTAACTGCTTGCTTTTCCCTCTCGGTCCTACCTCTTGGTGGGGGGAGGTGAGGTGAGGACTATAAGCCTCTTACGGACAGAAAGACCAGAGAGAAGTGGAAGGAGTTTCTAGAACAGGGGTCCCCAAGCCCCGGGCCACTGACCAATACCAGTCTGTGGCCTGTTAGGAACCGGGCCACACAGCAGGAGGTGAGCAGTGGGTGAGCCAGCTTCTTCTGAATTTGCAGCCGCTCCCCAGCACTAGCATCACCTCCTCGGCTCCATTTCGGATCATTGGGCATTAGAGTCTCATAGGAGCACCGGTCCCTGGTGCCAAAAAGGTTGGGGACTGCTGTTCTAGAGGACGTCCCCACCAATTCTGGCCTTTGCTCTGCTTCCGCCTCCGTCTGAAGATGGACCACAGCCACTCAGTTCCCTATTGGACAGGCCGTAGGGCAAAGGGGTGAGAAAGACCATGAAAGAATGCTGAAGTCAGCTGCATGTGAGTCTCTGAGTCAGCATCTTCAAGACCAGAGTGGTTATTGGGAAACAGACTTCTCTCCCACAAAAACCCCAAATGCAACAGCAGCCCAAGAGCTCAAAGCCAACACACATAATTCCAGAGTGGGAGCCCCACGCCAACCACGGGTGCCAAGGAATTGGGGGCTGGAACCCCTCACCCACCCACTCTCAGCTGCCTCCTGAACAAGCTACAGCGTTTGAGAGACAACCAACGAAGAGCTGAGCGATACATCAGCGTGCAAGGAGCTGCTGCCTGGACGTGTGATCAAGTCCTGCCTGGAACTGGGCTGGGTTTTAAGTCCTTCCTCGATAATCAAAACAACGGTGACCTCATTCCAGAAACTGCTTTCTCCAGGAAGGCTTGGATAGCTTTACATCTCAACATGTTGTTGCTTTTAGAGTGAAAGGATTGAACAGGCTACTTGGGGATGCGATGCAAAGAAAGTCAAAATGTCCCAATTAACGATGGAGTAAAGTAATTCAACTTCAAATGCTTCTTAGGCTATAATAGTATGTGAAAAAGCAAGATACAAAATTGTATACAGCCACAAACACACACACTAACTTAGAAGGGAAAGTTTAGAAGAAAAAATACTAATCTTTTAAAAGTATGAGTGATGGAATTATGAACAATTTATTTTGTTTCTTTCTACTCTTCAGAACATTCTTGACCTCAGAATATACTCCAGCTACCTAGAGTCATCTTCTTGACTAAGCACGTAGTTTTGGAAGGAATATATGGGAACCAGTGAGGGAGGAAAGAGTTCCTTGCCTGGTTCGTCAGATGGTCCAAATTAATCCTGGTCCACCAAGGAGACAAATGACACAAAATGACCACACATCCATTGACTTCCCTATATTTTTTCAACTTTCCTTTAAAAATGTGTATGGCTTTTCCAATGGTGGAGAAAAAGACACCCCATCTCAGAAATCTGGAGAGTTAGTGACTTGAATAAAACGTGCCTGTGGATGCATTGAGGGCTTCTTGAACCTCCCGTTTCTCCACCCAGGAATGGGAGAGTCTCCCAGTGCCACAGGACTGTATGGAGCGAAGGGAGGAGAGAAGGAGCACTGGGGCGCGGTAGAGCTCAGAAAGGCAACATTCACTCAGAAGAACTGTGGGTTCTACTGAGGCCACTCACACCTCATCTATCACCACCCCCTGTTCATCCCCTTATTCTACCTCCACCCCCCCAACACTGCACCTCTAGTCTCTCTGCTGTGTTCACAGAATCATCAACATCTGAGAGAGGGAGAGGAGGCATCCACCTTGCTCTGGGCCCTGTTTCCGGCCAAGTACCACGCCAGCTCCTGTATCTACATCTTCAATTCTCAAAATAATGCAGAAATGAGGGGTGTTAGGCCATTCTTAAGACAGAAGGACTGTAAGTCCAGGACAGCCCAAGCAGTGGGCTGATAAATTGCAGGGATGGAACTTGCATGTGTCGTCTGACTTGCAAGTCCCTGCTCCCAGGCAAGACAGACGTAAGCAGCCTTCTGAATGAAGACCCATGAGAGGATTATTTCCGACTCTCAAGGGTAAAGGAAAACATTTGCTCATATGTTTAAAAATGAAACATTGCTGAAAGCCAATTACAGACACTGCCAGGCATCTTGGAGCTTTTACGTTGGCTGCTAAAGGGAATGGAAACTCCATCCCACCATGCTAGGACCCCTTATGCAAAGCCCAGAGATTTACAGGGAGAAGGCCGGCCCCTCCCACACATGGAGCAGCATCTGTGGCTTGCAGAGGTGTGTGGCATTCCAGAGGTGTGACTCATAAAGGATATGGTGGTCAGCGGTCCTCCTTTTGTGCCAGGCAATGTGCTAGATGATTTCTACACATCCTCTTATTGCTCACAACAGCTCTATGGCCAAACCGACACAAGCAGCATGTGGTGTTACTGGATTTAGAGCCAGGTCCGCCTGATCCTAAGCACTTTTTCCGCTAACCCAGACAGAACCATCCAGCTAATCCCAATCCATCATCACTTTGACAGAGAAAGAGTGGATCCCTGTCACATGTTCAGCACATCAGATCCTACCTCTTCCACCTACTTTACTCTTCTATGACTTTCGTGTGTCCTGCACTTTCTGGAGCAAAAAGTTTTGAACGTGTTGGTCACACTGCACCCAAGGGTGTACTCATACTTGTCTCACAGTGCGGTTGGCCCCAGGAGGCCTCCCTTGCTAACTCATGTCGGTGCAAACCTCAGCACTTGTTTCTTCCATGGAGGGATGGTTACTCTTCCAACAATGACAGATCATTTGTATGTTCTGATTTGCTGCACATGTGTGTGCTTTATCTTCCCTGCTATACTCTCAATTCCTTTTAAATCAACACTTCCCATTCTCAAGGAAGGAATCCTGGAAACAACAGAATGCGCACATCATGTGCAACAGTATACACAGCAGAAGAAACTACAATCTTGCCTAAAATTGTTCTGTTTACTCTGTTTGCAGGTGGCATGGTGTTAAGTGGAATGACCCTTTGGAGACACGATTTTACAGTTTCTCATCAGAATGTAACTTCCAGAGTTGCCAAATTGTAATTTAATTGGAATCCATGCAAAGTCCTGTGCTTAGATTCAAGAACTTAAATGCTCGAACATAACACAATAAAAACTTGGCTTGGCTACAGTTTATTCAAAAAATTACAAATTTTCAGATTTTGGTAATAAAGTTAAAAAAGAAGCTCAATAGCATAATGTGATTTGTTTAACAGAAAAGAAAAAGAAAAGTGGACATATGTGTTAATGAAAGTGGAACGTGCAGATCACAAGAAGCAAATGTTCAGCTGAGCTCTGGGCCGAGCCCTTGTCATCCAGGAGGACAAACAACATGCTCGATTCTGAGAAGCACACTGAACAAAATGTCAGAGCCCTCAGAGAAGGAAGGAACTTGGTGTCCAGCCTGGACAAGAAAAGAGAACAGAGTAACTTAAAGTTTTCAGATGTTTGACAGGTTGTCATGTGGAAGAGGGAGTCTAGACTATGAACCATTGGATGGAAGTTACTGAGAAACAACATTCTGTAATATAAAAAGAAACTTTCAAACCATATCTGTGGGAGGCAGAATATGCGCCCTGCCAATATGCCCACAGCCTAATTCTAAGAGCCTGTATCTATGTTACTTTACATGGTAAAGGGACTTTGCAGATGTGATTAAGTCAAGGATCTTGAGATGGCGAGACTTTCCTGGATCATTCTTGCGAGTCCAACATAATTGTAAGGCTCCTGACAACAGAAAGGCAGGAATGTCAGAGAAAGCCAAGTGACAGAGGTCTGACTCAGAGAAAGATCTGAGGATGCTAAGCTGCTGGCTTTGAAAATGGAGGAAGGTGCTCCAAGCCAAGGCAAGCAGATGGCTTCTAGAAGCCGGAAAAGGCCAGGGAACCAATTCCCCCCAGAATGGAATGCAGCCTTGGCTGACACGTGGATTTTAGCCAAATAGCATCCATTTCAGACTTTGACTTCCAGAATTGTAATAGAATAAAGTTGCGTTGTTTAAAAACACTAAGTTTGCAGTAATTTGTTAGAGAGGCAATAAGAGAGGAATGTGACGTCTAACAAGGGAATAAGCACTACTAGCCCCAGTGAGCTCCCTGTCCTGGAGGCAGGGAGAAGAGGCAGAACATCTACCTGTCGTGAATGCTGTGCAGGCAAATCCTGGGTGACTCACGACAGATCCTCCAACTCTGATAGTCCACAGTCATGTGGCCGCGCCTCCCCCTGCTTCTGCATTCAACATGCTGGTCCCCACCCCCAGGCCTGGTGGGCAAGACCCGCCCTCCTCTCCCCCCTAGGAGGATGGTGGTAGGAAGTGAAAGGCATGCTTTGAGGGGTGTCCAAACGGAACCTGGGCCTGTACCTGGCTCAGAGTAGAAGTGCTTGCCCGGGGCGCCTACCTGAGCAGAGGACTCCTTTGTTCCTGGCGCAGGAGAAGTTGTCGCACTCACAGAAGGGTCCGTAGATCTTCCCAAACTCGCTCTCGAAGCAAGAGCACTGGTTGCAGCTGCACTCCCCGCGCCCGCTGCACAGGGGCTTGCCCTCCGCCTCCCGGCACAGGTTCTGGTACCCGCTCTGGTTCTCCCCTTCCTGGCACTCACACCTGGTGCCTAGGTGGCTAGGGTTGCACTCACACAGGCCGCAGATGTAAGTCCCATTCCCGCTGCATCTGGGGCTGTCCAGCTCCAGCCCTGTGCTGCAGCCACACTGGCAGTTGTAGGTGACCCCCACCTCCAGGCTGTCTCGGAACCCCACGGGCCGCAGGGTGAACACGTGCTCCATGTGTTTGCCTGGGCAGCTCCGGGCCTCCACCGACACCTCGAAGGACGCCTGGGCACAGAGAAGAGAGGGGACAATGTGGCCACTGCCAGTCAGGGCCTCCCAATCACCCAGGGGCCCAGACCAAGAACAGGTCCTCCGAGGTCCTTGATGGAGAGCTGCAGCTAAATCCACTCTTGTCCACACACACAGGGAGAACCCCCGCCGTCGCCCAGCTGCCCCATTTTACTGAGGAAGAGAATATCCAGGCACGCCAACATTTGGCAACACTGTTTGGTTATTGAATGTTAAAATCTCTTTTAATCCTCACAATCCTGAGGAAATGGGCTTCCACAGAAAGGTAGAAAGGCTCAAGGCTACACAGGTCTTTTTCTCCCCTTTCTTTTCACTTCTATCCTATGCCTTCCATTTTGAAAGTCGTTCATTCAACAAATACTTACTGGGCACTTCCTCTGTGCCAGGCACTACACTAGATGTGCTTCCTGAACTCATGGGTGCTGGGGTCCACAGAGCCCTCTGTAAAAAGGTCTCCTCCCGGCTGGAGACGGGACAAAAGGACACCGGTCCCTCCCAGCGTGCCTGCCTCCTCACAGGGGCTTGCCCTCCCGATTTTTAAAAAGTTATCAGTCACCTAAAAGGATCTGAATGGTCCTCACAGCTGCATCTTTCATAATCAGCCCATGGCCCTGGGGTCATCAAGAAGAGTCATCACTTATAAAACTCCACACATGTGGACAGACTTTTTCTTTTTAAACAAAGCATGTAAAGAAGGCTTACTAACTCCTTCTCATGGGCTGCCTTGGAAGCAGGCGGCGAGATGGACCAAGCTGGCAGATGGCAACACAGGGAAGATGCCTGTTAACCGCCCATTTGGCCGGAATGTGAGGAAAGCGAGGACACTGCTCGGTGTGATTCTCTCAGGAAGTAGAGCAGGACCGTCCACCTTTCCTCCTCCCACTGAGAAAGGAGCCACGTGCGGCTAGAATCATCCAGCAGGGCACTGTGGAAATTCACAGACGGGGAGCGGCCACACCCTGACCAAACGCCGTCCTGAACTGCTTCTCCCCTGAACCGTGGTGCTCCCCAAATAGCCAGAGGCCTGGGCCCACTCCAGAAACTGACTCACAGTGTCTGGCCCAGATGTCTTTATTTTCCAAAAGTCTCCTCAGGTTATTCTGAAGCTCAAAATGGGATAGAAACCACTTTTAGCATTGTATTCTTAATTCCATTATTCGGGTTAGAATAAAGCTGATTTTTAAAAAGTCATCAATAACTTGCTTTACTGGGTACTCTTTAAGTGATAACGTATACTTCTGGGAAACATGGAAAATATTTTTCCTACATTTCTACAAAGCCCTCTCAGTTTGGGATCTTTACTATGAATTCTAAAAGGTCTCTCCTAAGATTCTGTGATATTTAAGGACACCCCAGGATGTGAGACTGAGCAGATGACAGTCCCAGCTCTCTAGGTCGAGACCGTCTTGCTTGGCAGGAAGCCATGGTTCCAGAGGACTCGACAACAGATACCCAAGAGTCAGCGTTAGCCACAGGGCGCCACAGGAGATGCTGTTGGACAGGTGAGCTGAGGACGATGACCAGGAGCCAAGGTCAGAGGACACTGGGAGAACCAAGCCAGCTGCAGACAGTTGGGGCTAGCCTACCCCCATCCTCCATGTCTATGTGGAGGGTGGATGGAAGCAAAGGGAGAGATTGACCGAAGCAAATTTAAGACTGAGTTCCAAAGCCCTGAGGTACAGGTGGGCTCCTGAAGTAAGGAAACAACATGGGGAGCCACCCAGGCACTAAAATCTGCCCTGTGTAAACATACACTAATAGTTACCAGGTGCTGAGCACCTACATGCACTAGGCACTGTGCAGGCACTTCCCCACCCCCACCCCTCAGTATCTCCTTTACAGCTGGGAGGGCAGGGCTGGGCCTGTGCTCTCCTTCCCATGTCACCTCTCAGAAGTAGGG